GACAGCTCCTTGAAGGATCCCGGAGTTGTTGACTAAGGGTTTCGATATGGCCTTCCCCAACCTAGTGGTTTGTACTCTATCAGTAAAATAGTTGGATAGCCAAGCTAACAACTGCGTGGGGCATTTAAACGATTCCAGGTTTTGTAACAAATTAGGTCGAGGAATGGAATCAAATGCAGAAGAATAGTAAAAAAAACACCGAACAGACTTAACAGAGCTGTTCAAAGACTTCGTGATAAAATGAATGAGGGCGGGGACTGCGTCCAAGATGTATCTATTAAGCTTGTAAGCAAACAGTAATGGATCAATGGGAATGTTTATAGACTGCTGAAGGCGTTTGAGGATGGCCTTTTCAGTCAATTTAAGAGCTGAAGATGTTAATGCTATGGAACGAAAACGTTTGGAGAGGACAGAAGATTTGGATGCTTTTGGAATTGGTATGATTGTAACCGGCCTCCAACAGTCGGGGATAGTAGAAATGTGAAGGGATTCATTTACAATGGAGGTAATTGCCCCAGCTAGGGAGGCAGCACCAAATTTGAAGAGGGCTGGATGTAAGTCATCCGAGCCTGCAGCAGATGACGAATTTCAACTGTTTAAAAGTTTTTACACATCACAACATGAGAATGCTTCCACGTTACAAGCATTTTGTGACGAGCAGGAAGGAAGAATGTCCGATGACTGGCGCAGGAATGCGGCATTGAGATAATCAGCATCCACATCCTGTTTCGACCGTACTTTATTCCTTCCACAGAGAAGTCTGATACCTTGCTACAGGTGTTTAATGTTTCCAGTCCTCAGAATTCGATCGGAAAATAGTGCGTTCAGTCTATTTACTTCAGCTTTGATAAGCCTGGACAAATACCTAACAGTTGAAGCATTGTGAGACTTGTAATCAGGTTCCTTTTGTCGTCGTAACGACTTCAGTAGGGGAGAGTGTATCCTTCCGTTGGACACAAATAGGCTTTGAACAGGGCAGCAGTAATTATAAATGACAGTGATTGTTTGGGTGAATAGGGGAACACATATGAATAGAGAAGAAGGAGATGATGAAAACCATAAAGAGGCCTGTCCCAGAGATTCATTGAGGAGAGAAACATTTTGTAGGCGAAAAGTTACGAAAACGAAATCTGATTTAGCCCGATCGGGAGAAAGATTTGTTTGCACAGTATGAATAAACCTTAGGGCGAACTAAGAGTAGGCAGTGGTCACTGGAGGAAATAGGTTCCTTAAGTGCTGAACCATCGAAGCATGTCACGGCACGTTTGAAACAAATAATATCATCCCGTGAGTAACGACGGCGCTTGATAGTGAATGAAAATATGAAAATTTCCACAATGTGACGGAGAGCGTGTAAGTGTAGCGTAGCCAGTCGAAGGGCGCGCGCGTCAAAAAAAGACTGAGTTGGTCCAGCACCCAGTCTCACTCTAGTTGGGGAAGTAATAGAGCAAGTGGATAAGCTTTGTTATTTGGGTAGCTACATCTCACCTGGTGAACGCATCACGGATGAAGTGTCAGCTCGC